CACTGGATCTCAGCAGCATCTATCGCACTGATAGATGCTCGAAAACTCCTTCCACCTGGCTCTGAACATAATGAAGAGCGGAGTCAGCTTAAGCGCAAGCTGACAAGAAGTCTACGCAATGATCGCGAACAGTGGTGGGTAGCGAAAGCAAGAGAGATGGAAAAGGCAGCGGCAATAGGTAATAGCAGACAATTGTTTAGACTCGTTAAGGAAACCGGAATTAGGAACCCGACCGTTAGCGAAACAATCTCAGAGAAAGATGGACATATTATTCATTCTCAATCCAGGAGATTGGATCGATGGGCAGAACACTTTAGGGATCAGTTCAACTGGCCTTCAGCCACACTTGGGTTTCCCACGATCTCCAGTCAACCTGAATGGCAAGTTAATGTAAGTCCTCCGTCCCTTTACGAAGTTGGAAAAGCCATAGGAAATCTGAAACGAGGGAGAGCAGCAGGCCCTGACAGGTTTACTCCTGAGATTTTTAAGGATGGTGGTCCAGTATTAGCAGCAAGATTAACTGAGGTCTTAGGTAGAATTTGGGAACTGGACGTAATCCCATCTGACTGGTCTCAATCACCGATTGTGCCAGTTTTTAAGAAAGGACAAAAGTCCTCTTGTGACAATCACAGAGGAATCAGTTTGACAAATATAGTATCTAAAATATTAGCCTCAATCATACTTCGACGCCTAGCTAAAGCTCGTGAAGAGCAGACTAGAGAAAACCAGGCCGGTTTTCGACCTGGACGTGGTTGTATAGATCAGATATTCACACTACGTCAGGTTCTAGAACACAGACACACATTCAGACGCCCCACAATGGTAGTATTTCTCGACCTTAAGGCGGCATTCGACTCCGTTGATCGTGAGGTTCTATGGCAGTGTTTGTCACTGAAAGGAGTACCAAAGAAGTACATTAACCTTATAAAGGCTCTCTACTCGAACACAACTGGTAGAGTGAGAGCTTATGGCGAACTGTCATCAGAATTGATCACCTCAAGTGGTGTTCGTCAGGGCTGTCCACTCTCCCCATTCTTGTTCAACTTTGTCATTGACGTACTTTTAGAGATAACACTCTCCTCATCTAAATTTACAGGGGTTGAACTTCTACCAGGAGGTTCACTTGTTGACTTAGAATATGCAGATGACATAGTTTTATTTGGTGAAGACGCTGACAAAATGCAGAGTCTTCTGACCACTCTAAGCAACAATGCAAGCATGTTCGGGATGCGATTCTCTCCCTCGAAATGCAAAATGTTGCTTCAGGATTGGGTTACATCGACACCCGAACTAGTGATAGGGAGTGAAGTAGTTGAGTGTGTCGACCGCTTCACTTATCTTGGAAGTCTCATCAGCCCTTGTGGTTTGGTGTGTGACGAAATCTCAGCACGGATACAGAAGGCTCGACTAGCTTTTAACAACTTGCGTCATTTATGGCGTAGGCGAGATATCCGTCTATCAACCAAAGGACGTGTTTACTGCGCAGCAGTTCGTTCCGTCCTTCTTTATGGCAGTGAAACATGGCCGGTAAGAGTAGAGGATATCCGTAGGTTACTAGTATTCGATCATAGGTGTCTTCGAAACATTGCTCGTATATCATGGGACCATCGAGTAAGTAACACAGTTGTTAGGAAACGGGTACTAGGTAAAGATGGCAAATCAATTGATGACGTAGTGAAACTTCATCAGTTGAGATGGCTGGGACACGTGTTACGTATGGCCAACGACCGACTGCCTCGACGTGCTATGTTCAGTGGTATAGGAGTAGGTTGGAAGAAAGCTAGGGGCGGCCAAACCAAAACATGGCACAAGTCCATGAAGTCACTGACAAGTGAACTGAGTCATGTTGGTAGGTGTAGACTACCTGGTTGGGGACCGCGAGATGACAGCAACCGATGGTTAGAGACCCTGAATGACATGGCTCAAAATCGTTCGCAATGGCGCAGGTGCATCCACTCTCTATGTTCTCCCAAACTCTAATCTTCTGAATTCTTCATGTCCCTTTTTCCCTCTTTCCAAATTTCTTTCACTGGATTATACTCTTTAAATAACATCTCCAAACCCTAATCTTCCCGATTACTGCTTATACTCTTACTATCTCTACCACTACGGGATTTGAATCGATCACTGCATCTCTGTGCTAATGTGGTGTGGCAACTCGAACTGATGTACGTACGTACGATGTTCTACGTTGTTACTGACTGACTGACTGACTATAGGGACGTCATTCAGCGCTTCATTTACGTTACTAACCCATTTATGTAAACGAAAACCTCCAAGCGCAACGAGTCTTATCAGGTTATTTGCTAACTCGGCAGCTTCTGGTATTGTTTCTACTGAGACTAGACAATCGTCTACATAAAAATTTTCTCGTAAGGTGGACTGGGTTTTTTCATCAAACAAATCTCGGTGGTCTGTAGCTGTACGTCTTAAAGCATAGGTAGCGCAAAACGGCGAGGACGTAGCCCCGAAGGGGTGTACATGGAACTCATAGACCTCAGGAGGAGAATCAAGATTGCCATCGGGATACCATATAAAGCTGAAGGCCTTTGTATCCCTTTCGGGTAGATATACCTGGAGGAACATTTCTTCAATGTCTGCTGACAATCCAATCTTATGCTTTCTGAATCTAAGCAAAACTCCCACTAGGTCGTTTGTAAGATCTGGTTCAGAATATATACAATCATTTAGAGACTTGTTTTGTAACTTAGCAGCACAATCAAAGACTATCCGAACTTTACCTGGTTTTTTAGGGTTAAATACGGGATGATGTGGAATCAAATACCTTTCTTCTTCGATAGCTTGAGTTACTCGAGACAAATATCCTTTACTTTCGTGGGTAGCTAATATAATAGTATACTGTTTCCGAAGCTGTTCGTCTTTCAGCAACGTTTTACGTAGGTAAATTAATCGTTTTTCTATTTCGCTCTTATTCCTTGGAAGTGAGTGCCAATCCACCTTCCAGGGTATCGGCACTTGATAATGTCCATCGAGCAATACTGTTTGTTTGTCAGTAATCTCCATAATGGTCTTATCACATAGGGGCATGGTAACCTTATCAGAGTACTTATTTTCAGAAAATTCATGTTCAAATAATTTGAGAATATCCTCCTCAAAGGAATTTTTCGCTTTTAAACAGTTCATGAAGACTGAAGTTTTATTAGGTTGACCCGTTGGTCCAAATAAAGCCCACCCTAACATGGTTAGTGAAGCATAGGGTTGTTTAGGTTTTCCGATACGCTGATCGAGTACCCAGTGGGCCTCTGGAACGTCAACACCAAGTAACAAACCAACCTTGTCACAGGCTATGGTGGGTAGTTGTACACCTTTCAAGTGTTTCCATCTTTCTTGGAAGTCCGTTGGTGGGATTTCTGCTCTTTTAATAGGTAGGTTATCTATAGTATATGCACCTTCGATTTTTATTCGGTTGGTCTTATCTAAAGACTCAATTTCGAAATTGGTAAGTTCAGCGTTCTGAGATGACGCTCCAATTACCGAAGATATGTTTAATCTTGTCACTGTACCAGAAATTCCTACCTGCTTTGCCACGTCACTAAGCAGTAATGTCGAGTCTGAGCCATTATCTAACAATGCATAGGTATCCACGATGTCATGTTGTCTGCCGAACCGTTCATGTAGAATTTTAATTGCCTCAGTATAACCTTCCTTTTCTGGTAATAAAACACAGTGTTCTATAGCATCCTTTGCTATACCTTCGCAATAGTGTATCAGGTACATTAATTTCTGAGTGTCATCATTTACTCTGTCAGCTATGTTAACCTTGAATCCCTTCATGAACGTCCAAAATTTCAGAGGGCTCCCGTCAAATTTCGTGATTTCTATCTTCGGTAAGCTTACTGACATACATAGCGCCTTGACGCTATCTACCTGTGCTTTGAATTGCATTTCATCGCTCGAAAGTACATTGGTGTATCGGTGACTTGCTGTAACTGCCGAAGTTTTATCCTCGGATCGAGACCCCGACAACTCGGTAGTCTCCCTAGGTCTTCTCACTTTGTTTGAAGAGTTCGGAGTTAGCTCTAACAATCGCTTGCGTAGTTGGACTTCTCTTATCTCCAGCTCAATCTTTTCTACTTCCCTTTCCCTAGAGTCCACTTCGTCTTCTACACTGTATCTAGTCTCTATATAGTTGTCTCCTACCGAGCAACTGTCTTTGGGGTTAGGTTTAACAACATCAAAGGCAAGATTTAAAGGAATAGGTGAGTTCACCTTGGAAACTGAAGGAATAATATTTTCAGCACTGGAATTGTCTGTGTCTTGGGAACTGTCATCGTTGTACTTCATTCTTCTCGTTCTAGTCATCGTTGGGATGAATGAACCAAACAGAATTCCGACCAAATTTAGCTTTAGCAAGGTGTGAGTGGACATACAACTGACAAATGGAGGCGATTCGGAAAGGGAGCTGAGAGTATAAGATTATGTGTGATTATAAAATAAAATATAGTGCTAGAAACAGTATTGTGATATACAACTGGCTATCTTCCTTTTATTATCGAAGCTATTAGAGTCCCTCTCGTTTTTTTTCAGGTTTTATAGGGTCTTGAGTAGGCTTCGTATATTAGCGAATTGTCTAGTTTGCTTGTAATAGGATTTCTGAGTAGGAAGTGAAACCAATTCAACGTTCGTAACACGATTTAAAGAGGCATTTTGCGTGATAAATCAGCTTCAATACCATAAGTCCGTGATATCCCACTAAACCATAAGGAGCCGTAATTAAACAAAATGTTCTGCCCTACAGACATGGGTGGATTGAAGTTATCTCCCCACCTTCATGTTTGCTGGTCAGTAACGCCACCCTCCCTCCTTTTGTGATGTTAGGCTCTCTTACGTTTATGGTAAGTATGATTAATTCTTTAATCAAAGCACATAGTTGGAATACACTGTCTCTACTAGGTCCATGTTACAAGCAAATCAGATATTTAAAAATTCTGTTTTATGGGTTAGATGTCCATATAGTATATCACACTGCTATGAAAATAACTAATGGTTTAAATAATTAAGGATTAATAGTAAATCAAAAGATATGAGTGGGTATAAAATTGTAGAAAAAAAAAGAAAAAGATTTTAGGGTGAGAAAAATAGAACATTGAGAAACTCACAAGACTTTGTGGCCAAATTTTGAGCTTTGAATGATCGGCCTTAGTAGATCAGCATCCATAAGATTGAGCTATCTGTCTACTTGCAGTAGAAAAAAAAAGCATGACTTTTAGGAAGAATAATGTACATTTAACCTGTAGAGATTTGGGGACTGAAAGCTAGGGTTAGGAGCATGAAATCATGATTAATAAACAATGAATAATAGGAAAGGATAAGCCATATATCCTGTGATTCGCTTATATTCAGATTAGTAACAGTCGAACTTTTTATAATTTTGTTCTTTCTAGATACTAGGCGGTCCGTAATAAAGTGCCTCATCGGTGGGCGGGAGTTCAAGGTAATGTTGAAGCTCTTTGGAGTCTAGAAATAGGGTTATTAGCTTTTTGAATCTGGTAAACGTATCACAGTTACGGATAGGCATTGGCAGCCTGTTCCACAATAAACTGTACCGTACTGTAAAGAACTTACAACGCATTTGTTTTTGGTGTTTTACGGTAAGTAGTGTATATGCGTTGTTTCTAAGTCTATAGGCTGGGTCGTGGGTGATAGTCGGGCAGGAGGTTAGAAAGGAGAGCCCATATATCGCTTTGTAGAGAAATATTAAATTGTGTTTTAGCCTACGGTGCCATAAAGGTTCTAAAGATAGACGCTTACATCTGTCTGTGTAATCGAGATTCGAGTTACATCCTAGTAGTTGACGCGTAAAACGTCTTTGAACATCTTCTACTCTTATCTTGTCTGTGATATTCATATTAGAGAAGACAAAAGAGCAGTATTCAAGGGTGGGTCGTACACATATTTTGTAGAGAGTAAGTTTACCCTCTGTTGTGAAAAAGTTTTTCATTATAAAACCAATTAGCCGTCTAGATTTAGAAATAATAGAGGAGGCATGTTCTTCAAAGTTTAGGCTTCCTGTGTAATTAATTCCTAAATCGTGTACTGATTCGAGTGTTTGGACTATACATTCATTTAAGTGAAGTCGCGGTTTATAGGGATGCTTTCCAAAGTGCATGATCCCGCACTTGTTGAGGTTAAATGGTAATTGCCATTTTTCACTCCATATAGTTAAGTTATTGAGGTCCTTTAGTGACGATGACAGAAATACTTGTCCGAACAGAGGCAATAAGTAAACAAAAAGCAGTAGCACAGGAAAAACGTGCAGTTGAACTTAATAATAACTCCTCTGCACTCACCATACTACTTGTTAAGTTTGTTTCACATTGTTCCTACATGTTCCTTTTCTACTCTTTTGTATGTTGTTTTATACTACTTATTTACATTCAGTAGGCAGCTGTATACCCAACAATTTCCACACTTATGTTGTAACTCAAGTTGTACTATAACATTCTGGAATGTTCACATATATCTTTAATGTTTATTTTACTTATAATTGTATTTATCATTATAATCACTGTAATTTAATTACTGTAAAGGTTATCCACAGTTTATGCATTTGTTTGAATGCAACAGTTTCCATATTGTTTGCTCTTGGTTCGAGTTTCGGTTGTTCATAAACTGTTACCAAATCTAGACACAGCTATCGGCTGTCTTTGGACTATCGTATGTTGTAATCATTCTTTATGTTACTCTTACAGGAAGCTTTTGCTATTTTCATTTTTGAACGACGCGTTTAAACGCCTAGACACCTCACAAGTTGAGGTTTGTAACTAAATTTTGTGTATTATTTAATAAAGAACCGCTTTTGTAGACAAATCGTTGTTTTGGAACTTCGATTTCGCGCGTATCTCAATCGGGGTTACTTCGACGCTTCGATAGAATTAACAGTTCTCAACTTTGGTCTCATTTGGTCTGGATACAGTTCTGAACTTTGGTCCTAATTGGAGGGAACACTTGCTGTAAGGAAATTTGGTCGGAATTCTGTTTGGTTAATTCATCCCAACGATGACTAGAACGAGAAGAATGAAGTACAACGATGACAGTTCCCAAGACACAGACAATTCCAGTGCTGAAAATATTATTCCTTCAGTTTCCAAGGTGAACTCACCTATTCCTTTAAATCTTGCCTTTGATGTTGTTAAACCTAACCCCAAAGACAGTTGCTCGGTAGGAGACAACTATATAGAGACTAGATACAGTGTAGAAGACGAAGTGGACTCTAGGGAAAGGGAAGTAGAAAAGATTGAGCTGGAGATAAGAGAAGTCCAACTACGCAAGCGATTGTTAGAGCTAACTCCGAACTCTTCAAACAAAGTGAGAAGACCTAGGGAGACTTGCGTAGTTGGACTTCTCTTATCTCCAGCTCAATCTTTTCTACTTCCCTTTCCCTAGAGTCCACTTCGTCTTCTACACTGTATCTAGTCTCTATATAGTTGTCTCCTACCGAGCAACTGTCTTTGGGGTTAGGTTTAACAACATCAAAGGCAAGATTTAAAGGAATAGGTGAGTTCACCTTGGAAACTGAAGGAATAATATTTTCAGCACTGGAATTGTCTGTGTCTTGGGAACTGTCATCGTTGTACTTCATTCTTCTCGTTCTAGTCATCGTTGGGATGAATTAACCAAACAGAATTCCGACCAAATTTCCTTACAGCAAGTGTTCCCTCCAATTAGGACCAAAGTTCAGAACTGTATCCAGACCAAATGAGACCAAAGTTGAGAACTGTTAATTCTATCGAAGCGTCGAAGTAACCCCGATTGAGATACGCGCGAAATCGAAGTTCCAAAACAACGATTTGTCTACAAAAGCGGTTCTTTATTAAATAATACACAAAATTTAGTTACAAACCTCAACTTGTGAGGTGTCTAGGCGTTTAAACGCGTCGTTCAAAAATGAAAATAGCAAAAGCTTCCTGTAAGAGTAACATAAAGAATGGTTACAACATACGATAGTCCAAAGACAGCCGATAGCTGTGTCTAGATTTGGTAACAGTTTATGAACAACCGAAACTCGAACCAAGAGCAAACAATATGGAAACTGTTGCATTCAAACAAATGCATAAACTGTGGATAACCTTTACAGTAATTAAATTACAGTGATTATAATGATAAATACAATTATAAGTAAAATAAACATTAAAGATATATGTGAACATTCCAGAATGTTATAGTACAACTTGAGTTACAACATAAGTGTGGAAATTGTTGGGTATACAGCTGCCTACTGAATGTAAATAAGTAGTATAAAACAACATACAAAAGAGTAGAAAAGGAACATGTAGGAACAATGTGAAACAAACTTAACACCGCCCCCCAAAGACAGCATGTCTTTCCTTACTTTCGCTGATTAGGTATTAACGTAAAAACATTCAGAAGTGACAATGGTACGATTTGCTCTAGCCACAGTCACTCTGAAAAGTCTCTCTATCCTCTACTTTTCGGTCATCAGCTCCTTCTAATAAACAAATTTTACATATGCCTCTAATAATTGTACCCTTCCACGTTCTGATCTTCGCTTGGTTCCATAGACTATCTCCTCCTGGGTCAAAACTTACCACGAGGCCTTTAGACCAGTTATTTCGTGCATAAGTGTCCTCAATAATCAAGACTGGACCGCGAACTTGTAAATCTCGTCTTCCTTGTGTCCATTTTGTTCGCGTCTGTAAGAGTGGTCTATCATTAGGTATTCTTTCTGCTTCAGTCAAACAGGTGGTGAGTGTCTCGTAGGACATAGATACTGCACTCAAAGGTCTGCGTATGCTTCCTATTAATCTTTCCCATACTCGATGATGATTTGCGTAAGGAGTGTTATGGTGCCATTCTATGTTCCGATGAGTCATTTCTTCGGCTACTCTACTATCCTTAAAGTCTGGTAATGGATGTTGTATCTGCTTGTCTAACCCAACTAAAGGAGACATGGATACAGTTGTCTTAAACTTCTTATCATCATCAGCAAACTGAATAAAACAATCATCTTTCTGATCCTCTGTTTCACGCTCGATGTCAATAGAACTCTCAGCAGACGCCACTACAGGAGATACAAGTTTCGTATTTGCAGAGAACTGAGTTGTTGTTGCTTTGCAACTAATTGATGACTCGTGTAGTAGTATTACAGATTTAGCACTATCGTTCACGTCAGAAACACTAGGGAGATCTGTTTCGGCAGAGAACCTAACAGATGTTTTCGATGACATTAACTCGCCGCTATCTGTTGGAAGAATTTTGTCTGGAGGAGAAATATATCTAAGGTCAATATTCACTACTGTATCGACGTGACTATCGTTGACAGTTTTTAGAAGGTACTCATCGTCAACAGCTGGTGATGAAATAACTTGTTCTAAATCCATTAGATTCTCGTCTGTCGCTTTTGATACAGAGTCAAAGGTGTATATAAGTCGGTTACTTCTTGAATCAGGTGGAGTGTCAAATCCAGAAGAACGAACTGACGGTAAACCTTGATGAACCCTGGAATCTTCAGTCTCAACAGCGGTTGCTGTTACTATGAGTGAGTGTACATCATCATCATCATCATCATCGACTAAGAGTGACACATCAGGAGAGTGTTTAAGGCATAAACCAGGATCATCTATGAACGGCAACAAACGATTTGAAGAGTTTTCAGGCGCTACTGTGGTCAAAGAAGAGGGTGGCGTGGGTCCGTCCTCGATAGAACTCTTTGCTTCTAAACAACCTTCCCAACTCAATCGTGACTCTTCGTCTATCATCTCATCCCACCCATAGTTTTTACGACATAGCTGTTGCAGAATTCGTTTAGGGGTAAGTGATAAAGGCGCTAGAAATCCAAGCGGGTCATATAACGATGATGCACATGACAGAATGCCTCTCTTAGTGATCGGGCGTTCGGGAAGATTTACGTCAAATGCAAAACAATCGAATTGCGTGTGCCAATAAAGTCCTAAAGTTTTCTGTATACGTTCTGTTGAACCTGGTATACGAACCAAATTGTTTGATCTATCACCTATAGGGACGTCATTCAGCGCTTCATTTACGTTACTAACCCATTTATGTAAACGAAAACCTCCAAGCGCAACGAGTCTTATCAGGTTATTTGCTAACTCGGCAGCTTCTGGTATTGTTTCTACTGAGACTAGACAATCGTCTACATAAAAATTTTCTCGTAAGGTGGACTGGGTTTTTTCATCAAACAAATCTCGGTGGTCTGTAGCTGTACGTCTTAAAGCATAGGTAGCGCAAAACGGCGAGGACGTAGCCCCGAAGGGGTGTACATGGAACTCATAGACCTCAGGAGGAGAATCAAGATTGCCATCGGGATACCATATAAAGCTGAAGGCCTTTGTATCCCTTTCGGGTAGATATACCTGGAGGAACATTTCTTCAATGTCTGCTGACAATCCAATCTTATGCTTTCTGAATCTAAGCAAAACTCCCACTAGGTCGTTTGTAAGATCTGGTTCAGAATATATACAATCATTTAGAGACTTGTTTTGTAACTTAGCAGCACAATCAAAGACTATCCGAACTTTACCTGGTTTTTTAGGGTTAAATACGGGATGATGTGGAATCAAATACCTTTCTTCTTCGATAGCTTGAGTTACTCGAGACAAATATCCTTTACTTTCGTGGGTAGCTAATATAATAGTATACTGTTTCCGAAGCTGTTCGTCTTTCAGCAACGTTTTACGTAGGTAAATTAATCGTTTTTCTATTTCGCTCTTATTCCTTGGAAGTGAGTGCCAATCCACCTTCCAGGGTATCGGCACTTGATAATGTCCATCGAGCAATACTGTTTGTTTGTCAGTAATCTCCATAATGGTCTTATCACATAGGGGCATGGTAACCTTATCAGAGTACTTATTTTCAGAAAATTCATGTTCAAATAATTTGAGAATATCCTCCTCAAAGGAATTTTTCGCTTTTAAACAGTTCATGAAGACTGAAGTTTTATTAGGTTGACCCGTTGGTCCAAATAAAGCCCACCCTAACATGGTTAGTGAAGCATAGGGTTGTTTAGGTTTTCCGATACGCTGATCGAGTACCCAGTGGGCCTCTGGAACGTCAACACCAAGTAACAAACCAACCTTGTCACAGGCTATGGTGGGTAGTTGTACACCTTTCAAGTGTTTCCATCTTTCTTGGAAGTCCGTTGGTGGGATTTCTGCTCTTTTAATAGGTAGGTTATCTATAGTATATGCACCTTCGATTTTTATTCGGTTGGTCTTATCTAAAGACTCAATTTCGAAATTGGTAAGTTCAGCGTTCTGAGATGACGCTCCAATTACCGAAGATATGTTTAATCTTGTCACTGTACCAGAAATTCCTACCTGCTTTGCCACGTCACTAAGCAGTAATGTCGAGTCTGAGCCATTATCTAACAATGCATAGGTATCCACGATGTCATGTTGTCTGCCGAACCGTTCATGTAGAATTTTAATTGCCTCAGTATAACCTTCCTTTTCTGGTAATAAAACACAGTGTTCTATAGCATCCTTTGCTATACCTTCGCAATAGTGTATCAGGTACATTAATTTCTGAGTGTCATCATTTACTCTGTCAGCTATGTTAACCTTGAATCCCTTCATGAACGTCCAAAATTTCAGAGGGCTCCCGTCAAATTTCGTGATTTCTATCTTCGGTAAGCTTACTGACATACATAGCGCCTTGACGCTATCTACCTGTGCTTTGAATTGCATTTCATCGCTCGAAAGTACATTGGTGTATCGGTGACTTGCTGTAACTGCCGAAGTTTTATCCTCGGATCGAGACCCCGACAACTCGGTAGTCTCCCTAGGTCTTCTCACTTTGTTTGAAGAGTTCGGAGTTAGCTCTAACAATCGCTTGCGTAGTTGGACTTCTCTTATCTCCAGCTCAATCTTTTCTACTTCCCTTTCCCTAGAGTCCACTTCGTCTTCTACACTGTATCTAGTCTCTATATAGTTGTCTCCTACCGAGCAACTGTCTTTGGGGTTAGGTTTAACAACATCAAAGGCAAGATTTAAAGGAATAGGTGAGTTCACCTTGGAAACTGAAGGAATAATATTTTCAGCACTGGAATTGTCTGTGTCTTGGGAACTGTCATCGTTGTACTTCATTCTTCTCGTTCTAGTCATCGTTGGGATGAATTAACCAAACAGAATTCCGACCAAATTTCGTTACAGCAAGTGTTCCCTCCAATTAGGACCAAAGTTCAGAACTGTATCCAGACCAAATGAGACCAAAGTTGAGAACTGTTAATTCTATCGAAGCGTCGAAGTAACCCCGATTGAGATACGCGCGAAATCGAAGTTCCAAAACAACGATTTGTCTACAAAAGCGGTTCTTTATTAAATAATACACAAAATTTAGTTACAAACCTCAACTTGTGAGGTGTCTAGGCGTTTAAACGCGTCGTTCAAAAATGAAAATAGCAAAAGCTTCCTGTAAGAGTAACATAAAGAATGATTACAACATACGATAGTCCAAAGACAGCCGATAGCTGTGTCTAGATTTGGTAACAGTTTATGAACAACCGAAACTCGAACCAAGAGCAAACAATATGGAAACTGTTGCATTCAAACAAATGCATAAACAGTGGATAACCTTTACAGTAATTAAATTACAGTGATTATAATGATAAATACAATTATAAGTAAAATAAACATTAAAGATATATGTGAACATTCCAGAATGTTATAGTACAACTTGAGTTACAACATAAGTGTGGAAATTGTTGGGTATACAGCTGCCTACTGAATGTAAATAAGTAGTATAAAACAACATACAAAAGAGTAGAAAAGGAACATGTAGGAACAATGTGAAACAAACTTAACAAGTAGTATGGTGAGTGCAGAGGAGTTATTATTAAGTTCAACTGCACGTTTTTCCTGTGCTACTGCTTTTTGTTTACTTATTGCCTCTGTTCGGACAAGTATTTCTGTCATCGTCACTAAAGAGGAAAAGTCATTTAAGTTGTGGAATTGAGTACAATGTCTTTGAAGACGTCTTCTTGTACTGACCGGTATATAGAGATCTTTGGAGAACGTAGGTTTACAGTATTCTAATGGTGCGATGTTTGTTGATGATACTTTTGATGTTGTGATAAAATATATTGGTTAATGTGTCGGTATTGTTTGAGGTAAAGAAAGTTCTCCAATCAGTGCTTCTTGGGTAATTGTGGAAGTTATTCCAATCAACCTTGCGATAGTTTCTACGAAGTGTTACGGTTTTACTTCTATCGGTTGTGGTTTTTACATTAAGGCTGCATATGACAATGTTATGATCACTACCTGGGAACTTTTTTCCAATATACAAAGTATTGGGGATGAGGCCACTGGTAAAGACTAAGTCTAAGATGTTTTGATGTCTGGTAGGGCTATCGACATACTGAGTCCATTGTCCAAGCTCTAGACATTCAATAAATGATTCATAACGTCTCGGCGCTTTGACTGGCAGCCAAGAAATTTCGGGCATATTGAAGTCACCACAAATGAGCTTGCCTGTGAATGAGAGGGATGATGCTAGCGTGAATACCTCCGATAATACTGCTATTTCATCTATTGATGCGTTAGGTTGACGATAAACACAGCCGAGCAGTAAGGTAACGGAATTCGACGGCTTTAATACAATCCACACCGAATCCTTCAGTTTGTTTAGTTCAGGCATATCACATAGCAGTGAGTTCAGGCTAGAGTGAGCGTAAATAAGGCATCCTCCGCCTCGTCCATTCAATCTATCGCTTCTATATAGGGAATAGTTATCTAGAGATATGCTTCGGTCGGAAATATTACTGTTAGTCCATGCTTCAGATATCATAATAACTGATGGTTGATATATGGATACAAACAGGGCTAAATCCGTCTTTTTGTTGCAGATCGATCGAGCGTTGATAAGACATATATTAAGCAAGTGGCCCACTAAGTTAAAATGGGTGAGGGTATTTCGGATAAAGTCGTCGTAACCCTCGCGAGTGTAAGATGAGTTTGATGTGAGGGGTTGGAAGTTCTTCATTAGCTCGGTATTTTGATAGTTAAACTTATTGGGAGATGTATCAAATGAGCTGGTGAAGTTGATTGGGGAGTTTACCCAGGAGGAAAGGGTGGGAGTACTCTGTGATGGAAACTGTACGGAGGAAACAAATTTATGTTTTGCATGTGGTTTGAAATAACCTGGGCTATATGCTTCAACAGAGGTGTTACTAGGGGTCTTATTCCAAAAAAAATCTTGTACAGGCCTACTGTGAAGTGTATGGTTATTTACAAAATAGTCTTGATGGTTAGACTCGTAGCCCCTGTTATGGCTATTTACGTTAGCGCGAGAGGGGTCTGCTACGCGTAACTGGGAGGAGTTGCGACTGTTGTTATACATGGGAGCCGTTGTTATGTGATGGGTCGGTACTAAAGGGTATGAGAAGTTTTCTTTTTGAGAGTAATTACAGTTGCGATCCTGGGGAATGTAGGTAGGGTGTGGAGTGAGAAACCTATTATTACCGTTCTTATTTATGGTTTTAGGCTTCAGGGGGTGATTTGGGTGGCCAGTTCTCTGGTAGTTTTCGTTAGTCTGCGTGTAAGAAGGCTTGCTACGCTGAAGCCCACCACCCGTTTTGCAACTTTGAGGTGTTGAAGGCAAGTTATAAGATAGCAGCGGGGAGAACCTGTTCACTGTTCTTGGGATACCTATAGAGCAGTTGGGTTCAATCTTACGTGTTTCCCTATTCGGTATCATGAGTTTTGTCTTCCCACCCTTTATTTTCAGAGCAGGATTCTTTCGTTGTCTTTGTGAGATGAACTTACGTTCATTCAAGTCTACTTGTGGAATGTCTTTAGGAGGACAAATTTTCAAGTGTATAGGTTTAGTTGCACATGTGTTGTTACACGACTCGCATTTTAGTACATTACTGAATGAACAGCTGGGATTAGTCATGTCGTTATGGCTTTTGGTGTCAGTTGGGGTCCGTATCTTATCCAAAGGTTTCTGATCTGTAGACTCATCTAGATCAACAGAGTGATCAGCCGTATGTGGGTTGGTGTCATGCTTAATGTTCGTGTGTTTTAAACTATTTGCTGTGTTGCAAACTGTCTCTGGCTGATTATTAACTGTAACACTCCCATTCAATTCTATCGCTTCACGTCTTCTTACACGACGTTGACAGGGCGTAAGGTCTGGAGTGACTTTTATATTTTTGTATGGAATTAGTGAGCTAATGTTTTTGCTCAAATCAATAAACTGCTTAGCATCGTTACAACAGCCAAACATAAACAAGAGGGGGCAAGTTGATCTGTCTGACTTTTTTCTAAGGCGGATGACTTTGCAGTTAACGTTCGGCATACCGCATGCTCTAAGGCAAATATCTCTTAACTTAGATGGGTGTGTGCGGTCGGGGAGGTTATACACAACTGCATTGAAGGAGGACATTACTCTCTTCGTCACTTCTTCAGCCACAAACTCCAAAATACACTCAGCTTTAGTGAGTTGCTCAAGATTTCTGTCTGTATCAAGGCCCCATATATGAGTGAGGGGTGCTAATTGCTCAAGTTTGCCGTTAATTTCGGATAGAGAGTTTTGTAGCTGTCGGATGTCATTACTATATCTATCAGTATTTTGGTGCGTATGAGGTGGACCATTGGACTCTTTAGTTTTTGAAATTTTAGACTTAGGCCTTGGTAGCACATACTGTTTAGTAGATTGTGCTGACTTTTCAATGCACGTAGGTATAGTGTCTTGTATGTCAACCAGTCTTACCGTTGGCATACTGCACGTAAAGATAGAGGGGCTGCGACATGGAGAATCTGGTGACGATAGAGACATTTGTGTACAATGCACATATTTTTCAGTGGTTAAAGGTTCGACATTGTCAAGCACTGAGTCGTCAGTTGTAGGGGTTACAGATTTGGACCTTTTATTTGGCTTAGAAGTTGGTGAAAGTCCTCTTTTACTGGAGTTATTGGACATGATATGAATATAAGTGAGCACAGTTCTCGTTAAATTAAATATAATATCTGAGTATTAGTTGTTATTAAGTATTAACCTGGTTAATACTAGGATTAGAGACTGTGAGTATATAATAAATTGCAGACCTATTTACGACTTAAGTCCGCAATAGGTACAATACGAACTGGTAATTGTCCGTCGAATAAAAATAAGTTTTTTCTTATGTTTCGAGGTGAGATGTTCCCGATGAACAGGATAGGATGATAATCACAGTATAATACACCCTACAAAAGAGCAAGTCGAAGAATTCCTAAACCACGTGAAAAAAAATGTTACCACTTTCAAAGTTCGCGCCAAAGCGTTTTTATCTTCTATTTAAAAATATTTGGGAGGAGGAACAAGTGCCGATGGACTGGAAAGAAGGACACCTCGTCAAGATTCCAAAGAAAGGAGATCTGAGCAAATGTGAAAACTACAGAGGCATAACACTACTGTCAATACAAGGGAAAGTCTTCAACAGATTGTTGCTGAACCGGATGAAGGATGCAGTATACGCCCAACTTCGAGATCAACAAGCTGGATTCCGTAAGGATCGGTCGTGCACAGACCAAATTGCAACACTACGGATCATCGTCGAACAATCAATTGAGTGGAACTCATCACTATACATCAACTTCATTGATTATGAAAAGGCATTCGACAGTGTAGATAGGAGGACATTATGGAAACTTCTTCGACAATACGGAGTTCCTGAGAAGACTGTCAATATTATCCGGAACTCATACGACGGACTACAGTGCAAAGTAGTGCATGGAGGACAGCTGACAGATGCATTCCAAGTAAGGACCGGAGTCAGACAAGGCTGTTTACTCTCTCCCTTCCTCTTTCTTCTGGTGGTCGACTGGATTATGAAGACCTCAACATCTGAAGGAAAACACGGAATACAATGGACAGCTCAGAATCAATTAGACGATTTGGACTTCGCAGATGACCTAGCCCTCCTATCACGTACACGCGAACAGATGCAGATGAAGACAGCCAGTGTAGCAGCAGTCTCTGCATCAGTAGGCCTCAGCATACACAAAGGGAAAACTAAGGTCCTCAAATTCAAAGCGGAGAACAGCAATCCAATCACACTTGATGGCGAAACTGTGAGAGACGCAGAATCCTTCACATATCTGGGTAGCAACATCGATGAACAAGGAGGATCCGATGCAGACGTAAAGGCGAGGATTGGCAAAGCAAGTGTCGCATTCCTACAATTGAAGAACATATGGAACTCAAAACAACTTTCAACCAATATCAAAGTAAGAATCTTCAATGCGAACGTCAAGGCAGTTCTACTGTATGGAGCTGAAACTTGGAGAACTACAACAACCACAATCAAGAAAGTACAAGTATTTATAAATAACTGTCTACGCAAGATACTCAACATCCATTGGCCGGATGCCATCAGTGATAGCCTTCTGTGGGAGAGAACAAACCAACTTCCAGCTGAAGACGAAATTAGGAAAAGACGATGGAAATGGATAGGACATACATTACGCAAATCGTCAAACTGCATCACGAGGCAAGCCCTAACTTGGAATCCTGAGGGGAAGCGAAAAAGAGGAAGGCCAAAGAACACAGTGCGTCGGATAATAGAAGGAGATATGAAAAGGATGAATTACAACTGGAAGGAGCTGGAAAGTATTGCCCAGGACAGGGTTGGATGGAGAATGCTGGTGAGCGGCCTATGCTCCTTCACGAGGAGTCACAGGCGTAAGTAAGTAAGTAATTGAAGCTGTACACAACCATATTTGCACAGAAGGATATAGTTCTGTAGATCCCTCAAGACGACAGTTGGTGTCAAGTGAACAATTATACTTAAGGCCATTTCCACTGAGTAATACGCCAACGCGTAACTTACGATATCTGGTTTCTTAGACGTTCTACAAACAGCTCACCAAAGATGATATCGTCAAAATGTGGTCACGGTCGTACCCAGGTTGTTGAATTCACATCCTAATCTATTGAGTTTAGACACTTCAAATATCAACGAGATTTTACCGTGCGTCCAGCTAAACACTGAAGTAAAGTTATTTGATGAAAATGGAAACATATACTGGCATTTATATTTATTTAAATTGTCTCAAGGCCATCTAAAAAAGTACAATCTCTCTTGATGCCTGCAGCACCTGCAAGTGTTCTAACTCCATTAACAAAGTGAATGATATGAAGCTACATAAACACGCAGCTACACTAGACATTCGCCATGTACTTGGACATGATATCTCACAACCTTGCATCACCCTTATAGATATAAATAAAACCAGTCACAAACCAATTGAATCGACGTCATTTGATAGTTCTTGCAGTCTATGCAAGAGCGTAACTTGTTAAGAGCAACTTTTAGACAGTTCTGCTAAGCCGAAACACTTGACAAATCCACAACCGACTGACCTGTTTAGGGGCCAACAGAATGCATATATATCTGCCTACATTAACCAGCCCAGAAATATAGATTTCGATTGCTCACACCGACATATACTCCATTCATCAACTAAGCGTGTACACGTTGGTCACTCAATAGACTCTTGCTACAAGTTTGCATGCAACCATGTCGACCCTAACAATATTAGTATGAACTGCAAACTTTCACCAGTAACAGTTCTAAGGTCGGTCAAATAGAACATAACCTCACACAAATCATTTACGACTTATTACCGTAGAAATATCTAATCAGTGTCCCAGAAAACTCTGATCTGAAAATTATAGAAAACACTAATAACGTAATTGACCATATATCATCAGTAGTGTTGAAAAACTCCAGTGTATGTAGACTGTCATTGTGTATAATGTACCTGATAGCGCAAACGTAAAGTCTGTTAGAAATACCCTACTTAAATAGTGTGGATTGTTGCAATCTTGGAATGTAACACGATGATAGCGTAGAGCACAGATTAAAGCTTCTTGTCCCATTCTTTTCCCGTTTCGTAGTATCACGGGGGCTGATCATCTCCTTAACAATCAGTTGTTACGGAGGCGTATTCTGACGTTTTAAAAAGATTAAAATCATCTGCAATAGGACTACTGTCTAACATCGAATCTTCAAAGAACTACAAACCAATCGACCCAGCCTACGTGATAGCAACAGTTACACCATTGTCCACTGCCCCAGCACTGCTCTAGCAGCTCCAATAAAAATACAAAACAGCCTAAAAACAATCCTTTCAGAAATCGCTCTCAAAGTTACAGCCGCTTATCCATTAAAACGCGAAATAATGTGAAACCCTGTGTCGAAACCCACAAGCACCTCAGCACTCTTGACGAACAACATACACCCTTCCGTAGAAATGGAAAACCTAACAACGAACGCAGTGGACTGATATTATTCATTCATCCTAGCATGAGGCCACACCTGTCTAACACGACACCTACTCATGACAACAATAAGCTTTTCAGGGTGAACTTTGTACGCTCTAGGAACCAGAGCACGACCATACACAACATGAACACCTATCTTTGCAGCAATCTCAAGCAATTCTCCATTTCTAACCTGGGGCATATAACCTCCTTAACTACCCATGACAGGGCTGAAATTCCGTAAAACACACGATAAAACGACGACGATAGCCTACTTGGGCACCCACC